AGTGTGTGTGTGTGTGTGTGTGTGTGTGTGTGTGTGTGTGTGTGTGTGTGTGTGTGTGTGTGTGTGTGTGTCACAGTGTGTGTATGCGTGTGCGCGCGCACGCGTGTGCGCGCGCGTCTGTCCTCCGCACATACGTGCGTGCGTTCAAGCGATCGTGAGAACCAGGCAAGAAAGAGGCAATGCAATGAGACGGAAAAGTCAATGCGACAATACTGTTTGCTTCCAGTTTTGCCGGCCGGCAATGTTCCCTCCGCCCTTTCCTCCCTGGTTCACCGCACTGCACTGCTCGTACACACACCAAATGAGCAGAAGCACGCACACAATACAGGCTCTCCAAACCACTTGATTTATGTTACTATTGCACACGAGGACACAGTTTCCGGCTCATGCTGTGTGAAAAGCCACCCTATACGTGTCTGCATGCCCACTCACGCACCGAGCTACCGTCAGTTCCCACGCATTGTGTGATTCTTCGCTAATGATACCAAAAAAAATCGAAAGACCGGCGACATTGCTCTGTGGCTGCTACGGCTGCTGCGGCTCTGTGGTAGCGTGCACTGGTACGAACCAGTGTTTCGTGCTCCAGTCGTTATCGCGACATGATACGAGTTCGTGTTGCATGCTCCATAGTTATGATATGAACCCGTGTTCTGTGTTCCGTAGTTTATCATGTTGCAGTATTAGTCGAATTAAGAAACTTTGCCCGTTTTATTTTGACGATTCTTTGCGGTATTATTGATCAGCTGTCCTACCTTGTTAATATAAAACAAACCGCTTGTCCCTGCGATGCTCCTACGCTGAGATAATGAGCGGTGGAAATCTGGTATTTTCGCAAAAAACCGACTCAAGATCAGTGTTTACTGCAACTGTCTCTCGCTTTGTGGCCAGTGTATTGCTTCCAGTCGCAGCTGTGTAGCGCCATGGTAGCGCTTACTCATGTCAGTACTACAGAGATTACTATACATCCAGCGTAAGGTGGGCACAGGTGGGGGTCATCACTATGGCAATCAATAACAGACGTCATTCATTCCATTTGTCAATCATTGACGGAAACACGCGAGGTTTCCCGAAATTATCTCAAAGCGAGAGACAGTCGCAGTAAACACTGATCTCGAGTCGGTTTTTGGCGAAAATACCAGATTTTCACCGCTCATTATCTCAGCGTAGGGGCATCGTAGAGACATGCGGTTTGTTTTATATTAACAAGGTAGGACAGCTGATCAATAATACTGCAAAGAATCGTCAAAATAAAACGGGCAAAGTTTCTTAATTCGACTAATACTGCAACATGGTTTCAGCATTTCACCGTTATACGCTCTCCTATACTGGACAGTCCGTAAGGAATAAATGTCCAGGGCTATAGCTAGCCCTATCCTTCTTTATACGCTCTTGCTTATATGTAATTAAAGGAACATGCTGATTTTACAATGCCATAGTCACTATAAGATCACTATGTGCCATGTAAATTCTGATTCTATTTCTGTGAAATGGGACAATGTTTATGAAAAGTACTGTACACCTTTATGCAAGATCGTATTATCTTTGGTACATAGCAATACATTTTGTATCATAGCCCAAATATCCTAATACCTAATGTATTGTATACTAGATGTCATATTGCACCCCTAATGTCTACTAAATTGCCAATTGCAAAACTGTTTATGCCATGATAGCAATAAATACCTCGTTATGACAATCGAACTCCTACAATGCATCTGGCATTATATTCACTTTTATTTTTTATTATTCACTCACATGTACAGAAAACAACTGCTGCGCTATTTTTTCTTAGAAGGCATTTAGCTCGTACTCGTAGGCATTCATTGCACAGAGAAAGTGAGTAAAAGAATAGCAGTAGCCTAAACAAAATCTTTTTACGCTTGTAACATGCTGATTTCCTTAAAGTTAATCTCGATTTTGATAGAAAGGTTAATACGATTACTAATAGTAATACGGCATAGGTAACATATGATCATGATGCGGTATATATTAAACTACAATTACAAGTTACAACCTGGATCGTCCCTCATGACAGTTTGACACCAAGTAATTAAGTAGTACTAGAAGTAGTACTACTGAGTGACCCTGTACTAATTACTTGTACAGTACTGACAACCTAACGTCACATAGCTTGTATACGTCATCCGTGAAACTGTGACATGAAGGAAAATGTGTCTACGTGTATACTTATATTATTACGGAAAATGGTTCGTCTGTCCAGCCAGCGTACAGTACAACAACGTGTCTTCTAAACTAACACTGTAATCAGCATACCTGATGGGTAAATGGCAAGGTCTAAACCCGGCCGTACGGTCGTAACACGGTACGAATAACATCGTTTAGAAGCGGTTTAATTTCTCTGAATGTGCATACACCATTGCATACTTGCCTTGCAATATGGAACGTTGTTATATCCTCTCCTGTGCCCATCAAAACATGAATTTTTCGATCATTTGGGGCCTGTGATGGTCGTCTCAATCTCAATATCTCGCGAGATATCGTAAACTTGGTTCCGATGTCTGTCGAATTAGGTTTCCGTAAACGCACGAAGACGATCCCGATACTGGCTACGTCACCGCGCCGCCGCGACGTCACGCCGATCTCCCCGCCCTCGCGCGCGGTGCACTGTGGGAGCGCAGCCGGTGTCGGCTCACCGTGTCGGCTGACATAAAACACATGCGAATACACGAGCTAACAACAGAACTCACATGTATGCAAGCGACTATGGTGTCGCATGCTCATCTCGGAAGCTGCTGAGAAACGCAAGCATGGATTTTTGTGCGCTGATCGCAGGCCTGTGGGCATTTGGGCTGTATAGCAACACGATTGACGCCGACTTCGCTTACGACGACAAGTAAGTACATGTACTTCTGTCCCGTTTACATGCGAGTTTACGTGTATGTGTGTGTGTGTTGCTAGAGTTCGCATAGCGTGCGGCATGCCAGCTGACACGGTCGCGGCATAGCGGTGCATAGCGGCACTACAATGCCAAGCTAACACAGCTCTAACAGTGCATTGTTGGCGGTCGCAGTACTAATAATAGGAGGGAGCATGAATAATGTTCGACGCTCACGTTTGGTTACTAGATCGTGTACTTATATTATAAGTTGCGATCCCCAAGACCAGTTTGTTGTGGTGTGTACATGTATTATGTACGACCACCGTGTAGACTATGGTGATCAGCGACAATTATATTTGTTGTACGGTAATTATTATATCAATTTGATTATTATGATGTAATGCTGTCGTTACCCCATGTAAAAAATTATCTGGGGCTTGATTTCTGGATCCTGTACATACTCATCAGAAGTAGATCATCTGCATCTACTTCTGATACTCATACATAATCAGCATAATAATGATAATAATAATAATATATGCTGTAATCCGTTTTGGAAATAATAATAATAATAATAATAGTAATAATAATCAATTTTATCACCATGTACGTCATCACCATAACCCTAATCCCAACATGTACCTTACGTCATTGACAACCCTTACCCTAACTCCAACCCCAGGGGCGGATCCAAAGGGGGGGTCGAGGGGGTCCGGACCCCCCCTTTTTACCACAAAAAAAGGAAAAAAAACACACACGCACGCACGCACGCACGCACGCGCGCGCGCGCACACACACACACACACACACACACACACACACACTTCTCTTATATTGTCTCCATAAAAAATCTTGTTTAGCGCTAGTTTTTCTGATAAAGATTTACTTATATATATGTAAATTTCATTATAAAAACCTAGAAATGGGCAAGGAGGGGTCCGCAGGCGTCCGGGGGACCGGATCTGATAAATTTTTGCATTCTAGACATCAAAATTACTGCTCAGATGCTCTCAGAATGCACCAATTTTTTTTTTAATTTTGGGGGAGGTTCCCCCCCCCTAAATGGCCTTCGGCAGCTTTTTAAAACACCAGAAAAAGTAAGCAGGAAAAAGTGCCCTTTATTTCTTTCTGGACACCCCCTTTTCAAAAATCCTGGATCCGCCCCTGAACCCTGTCGCTAACCATAACCATAACCGCATCAGGAGTGAATAATAGAGATTCTCTATTATTCACTCCTGATCTTATCCTATCCGCGCAAAGGTACCATGCAACCACTACTCATAAGTCGACTCACAGTTATAGTTTAGCGGTTGCGGTTAGGGCGCTAAGCCGGCGTGGAGTGACTAGTGAAATCTGACACACTCTCTCCTCCTCTTTCTCGGTAGTAGTCTTACTATAGTACACGCAGTTGTAGGTCTTTAGTGAAGGCGACCGGGAGATCGAGGTCATATGTTAACCGTGGCGCCCGCCTCCCCCCTCTCCCCCGCCGACACGAGGAGAAAAACGTGGGGCACACGAATAGTAATATATGAAATAATTATATATATAGTTTCGACAGAGAAACGGTCGCGGGAATGCACTATCTCGATGCATGTCCCCATTTTCATTTCATTTCATGTCATCAATAAGCGAGTAGTTGGCATTGGCAATCACTTGGGAGCGTGTCTGGCAGCGCTCGGATTATATAGATGGTGGATAATGAGTGGGGTTGTGTTGTGTTTGAGGGGGGGGGGGGCGTCTGGAGGACGCCGGCTGTGGTAATAAAACAGCTAGCGTGCTAATCGCCTGCGTGTTACTGCTGCTGCTGGCGGTGCGTCATATGTCGTCACCCAAGTCTTCACCCGCAGATCGCATTCGACCAAATTTGCGAGGCTGGCCAGAGTGTTTTTTTGTCATCCATTCGTACAAATCCGGCGTCGTCGCCGTGTGTAGGGTACAGTATATACTGCGCATTTCGCGCGGGCCATTTTTCCCGCAAGAGTTTTTATTTCTTCGTGGTGCGAAATGGAAGTTGAAGAAAATTTGTGACAAGGCGAAAAGACACGCTATAGCTGTGGTTAAGTACTGTCACTGCGTGTTGGGTGATGAAAAGATGCGAGAAAACTGTTTAATCTTTCTCTCTCTTCTCTCTCTGCTCTCTCTCTCTCTCTCTTCTCTCCTGCTACTCTCTCCTCTTCTCGTCCTCTCTCTCATCTGCTTCTCTTCTCTCTTTCTGCTCATCCTCCGCGCCTCCGTCTCTCTCACTCTCTCCGTCTCTTCTCTCTCTCTCTCTCTCTTCTTTCTGCTCTCTTCCATCCTTCTCTCTCGTCTGCTGTCTCTCTCATCTCCTCTCTCTCTCTCTCTCTCCTCTCTCTCCTCTCTCTCTCTCTTTCTCGCTCTCGTCTCTATCTCTTTTCTCGCGCTCATGATCCATCTTTCTTCTCTCTTCTCTCTCTCTTTCTCTCTCTCGTCTCTATCTCTTTTCTCGCGC